CGACATTAATCACCGGATAAGTCTGAAAGCCACGCGGAATTGTATCAATTTTCGCGTACAACGGCACCTTTGCTTTTATAAACCCACTTCTATGGGTTCGTCCGTACCCTACCATTAGCATACACAAACAGTGGATAAAGTTCCCTCGAAAATAACGAGTCCTCGAACATGTGCGGGCGCGCGTCAGTGTATCGACTTTGGTAATTGATATCGCCGTGAAGAAACAATAGCAGTCAATAAAAAAGCAACGCGTAAAAACAAACGACCGGTGTACGCTGGATTATCGAAATCTGCGTGGCAGATCGACATGCCTCAATTACGCACTAACATCGGCAAAATTAGCCGTTTCGTTGATTTTTGAGCTGAGAGAAAAAATATCTGGAAAATATGAAATATTTATTCGCAGTAGATACTAATAACATATTTATTTATTTACTTAAATCTAAATTCTTTTATTTAAATAAAATAAATAATTGTTTTCACGAATAGCTAAAAGTCTTAAGAAAATGTAGTTTTTCTTATTTAAACAATTTTTTATATTAGTGTAAGTAAATACATGTTATTAGTGCCCATCGAATAAATACTTTTTTTATTTTTAAGATATTTTTTCTATTAGTATATTTACACGCACAAAACACTAAAAATTAGATATACATATATCTGACGATGTTATTGAGAATATACATGATTACACTACCTAAAAATATTTCTTAAGAAGATAGGATATAAATACAGAAATATATATAATAATATAAGAAGATATAAATATGTTTAGGAATATGAGGAACTTCTTTCGTATTATTGTATATAAACCGTAACGAAAACAATTTTATATGTTGTTTGTATTCATAAATTCTCTTTTCAATTTTACCGTATTGTGTTTTAGAGTAACACAGGAATAAACTGTCAGCAGTAGTTATCTTACTAAGAAATATAATAAATTTTTTAATAGTAAATTTGAGTTCCTCTAAAATATAGCACGTATGAAACAGGAAGATGATTAATTAAAACAGAATGTCGATATGTTTCTCAGTTACAAAAAAATATTTATATTAATTTCTAAATTGATGTAATTTTTAAAATTCTCTCTGCATATTGACAAGCTGAAAGACTTAGATAGCAAAAAGAGCGTGAAAGTTTAAAATACTTCGGTTTTAAATATTCCTCCTTGTTATTTCAGTTTTATCATTGTTTTACAATTTATATTATTGCGGGTTTTCAGTTTACCGTTTGCATTGAGAATAATGACCAAATATCCACATTACGTAGGCAGATATTTACAATTCGTGCATCGAAAATCGTACATCTGATTTAGTATTATTTACTCTTGTGCTTAATCAAGTTAGTATAGTATTTAATTAAATGACAACTTTTAATCAATAGATAAAAGTTTACATTTCACATCAAACTTCTCCAGATACACGAGTGGGCAGATAAATATTGATCGTTAGCTTAAAATTATTGCGCCGTGTTGCGAGAATTCATTTCGGAACAGTTCAAATGGTTGTAACAGCGAGGTTATCGCATTATCGACCAATATCCCATTTCTAAGACATATCTTTCTTTTGGTAATATTTGGTTGTAATGAAATAATCAGCAGAGTGAAATAAATTGTACGAAAACAAATCGCAGCTGCCAGAATCAATATGCGCCCAGATAGATTTCCATGATTATCACGACGTGAGACAATTGATGGTGGAAACTTAAAATTTTTTTATTATTATAATTATTTATAAAGCATATATATTGTATGTTCTAGATAAATCATTAAATCTATACCATACAATGATATAATTTTTTTATTACATTGATGTGACGATACATTTACTAAAAGTTACACTCATATTTTCATATCGTATTTTACATAACATATTATTTTGAGAAAAATTTTTCATTGTATTTTTTTATATTTCTTGTATCTCATTTTCCTTGTATTTTTTCGTATTTCTATTGCGTATTTCTATTGCGTCTTTCTATGTGATAAAAAAATATGAATGTCATATGAATTACTCGTAAGGGACGTAAACATTACAAATTGCTTTGTAAAATTACCACCAAATTTACGTATGTACATCTGTCTATTTGGACAGAATTACTGATATTATTTTTCACGAAACGCCAACAGAGCAGTATTGACATCGAACACGAACATCGATTGCTTTCGTATAATGATTATATCACTAACATTATGACTTGTTTACGATCACATTTCATCCATTTAACGATTGTAATTGTTGCACGCACGAGTAATCAGTCTACAAATTACCTGTCATTGATTGGAAGACATTTACACACTGCCTGTGTCCATCACTTCGTGACCTTTGAACGAGCAGAAAAGGAAAAAAGGAAGGAATTATTTAATGACAACTTGTTATTGTTATCGTTATTTATCTTGAAAAATAATTCGATATTGTTAATAAATAATCACATTATTAATACCGAAAAAATAACGAGTTGTTACAATTTTTGTTATTTTTTATATAAAATTTTTTCGAGAACCTTTCTCTTGTGATTCGCTGCCATTCATCTTCACATGTATTCTACACACACACGTACGCATGCACGCACGCACGCACGCACGCACGCACGCACACACACACACACACACACACACACACACACACACACACACACACACACACACACAC